AGCAAACCCCAATGGGTTTCTGAGGAGGTAAATCTTTACAGAACCACCAACCATCTGGTTAGCAGCCAACTGTCTTACCCACTATTCCACCAGAGGTTCTTTACCCCTGGGCACTTCATAGGAAAATATAAAAAAGCAAAGAATAGGCACCAAACCAAACAAACCAAACAAGACGAATGTAAGATTTGGCAAGATCACCTAAGTAAGCTGTGAGAAGAAAACGTAAAATGAATAGAAGAATTACAATGAGGATATATGGTTAAATAAGACATAGTGAACCCTTGTATTTACTTCCATGTCTCCTTCTATTAAAACCACAATAAAGGAGGTAGAGGGAGGCAAATAGCCAGAAAAACTAAAAGACCAAGGAGATACCAGTAGATGAAAGCTATTAGGAAATTTGTGGAAGGACGGAAAATAGAGAGAGCTGTAAATAATAGAGTAGCTTAACTAAAGACTCAGCAGATAGATATTAGAAGCAAGGTAATTTATTCCACAGGAGTCAAAAGGCTCTGTAACTGAAGACTCTGGGTAAAAGGGATGGGTGTTTACAAAATGGTTATAAAAGGAGCTTGTCTCAACTGTCCCACCTAATGCATTATCATGGAGGTAAATGGAAGGAGGTTTATTATCCAGAGAACATAAAACAGTGAGGCAAAGCAGATGACAGGCAGCACATTCAAAAGAAGATCAGTAAACATTTATATATGGAAGACAGCTCCAACTCCTTTCCACTGATGGGCTCTAAGAATACTGGTGGTTATCAGGTCATACGAAGAACAATTTTCAGAAAAAAAAGTAAGAAAACTTACACATGCTGACATCTGGAGTCATCCAAAAGAAACAAATTCCTGATTGCCCCACAGTGAAGCCCATCACATTATAAGCATCAGGCAAACAGAGATTACAATAACCTTTCTGGTATACCTGAGGTTGTGTGTGTATGTGTGTGAATGCGTATTTTTAATTTCTTATCATGATTTGGACGCAAGTTTACAGAACAAATTGGTTTTCAACAATTCCATATGTTGTTTTGTGACACTGACTGCAATCCCTGTAACAACACTCTTCTCACTTCCTGTATGTTTACTGTTTCTATTTCTTCTTTCCTTCATATCCTTTCCTATCTTCTCTGCTTTATCCCTGGGCAAATATTGCCATTCTGATCTCACAGGGTGAACTGTTCTAAGTAGTACATACCTCCCTGGTGTTACAGACCTAAAGAGTGTCTAAGGGCCACAGTTTCAGGGGTTCAACCATTCTGTATCAGATTAGTGAGCCTAGTCTTTTTAATTTTAAAGTTTTGTTCTACATTTTTCTCCCACTCTATCTAGGACCTCCTAATGTGCTACCTTTCAGAGTGCTCAGAAATAGTAGCTGGGCACCATCTGGTTCTTCAGATCTCAGGGTTGTCGAGACTGGGGTTTATGTGGTCCATTAGTCCTTTGGATTGTTTCTTCGCATCTTTGACTTTTTCACTTTTCTTTGCTCTGGACAGGAGGAGACCAACAGCTACACCTTAGATAGCTGCTTATCTAAGATTCCAGCCACTACTCACCAAAGTAGGATGTAGAGCACTGTCTTTTGGACTATATTATTCCAATTGACCTTCACATCCCCTGAGACTGTGGTCCTGAGCCCCCAGGCCCAGTGACTCCTTCCCTCAAGGTGTTTGGTTATGGCTAAGAAATTCTTATAACTTTGTTCCCTGTAAGCTTTACTATAAAAACAAACAAACAAAAAAAACAAACTCACTGCCATCAAATTGATTCCAACTCACAGCAACCCCTACTAGGTTTCCAAGGTGGTAAATCTTTACTTATGTAGATTGTTCCATCTTCCTTCTATAGAGTGGCTGGTGGGTTTGAACTGCCAACCTCTGGTTAGCAGTCAAATACCTTAGGCACTACGCCACCAGAGCATTTTATGCTTTACTATATTCATGGCTATATTTGCAGCACATATAAATATGTAGGTAGGAATAGCCTCTGTCAAATCTATATATACAGATATATACATACACATGGGTATAGTCCCATTCATCTTCCCACAGCTGTTCAGCTTGTGTGTCTATACATGTATCCCCTCATAGATTATTATTACTGTTATTGCAGTATTGTGTATGTAATCGTATTTACCTTTGTTGCCTTTAACTCTTGTGCTCCTCTCAGTGTCTTCCTTTGCCTTGGAAGTCGGCACAAAATGATCAAGGTGCTGCAGTTTTAAAAATTAATGCACAGCTAAGTATCACCAAATTTGAGGGAAGCCCTAAAATGAAAGACAGACTTAAAAAAAAAAAAAAAAGGAAAAAAACAACCAAGAGAATGGAAACAAGGACCTCACTTATATATTAGTGTCTTGATAATACCTAAATTGATTTAAAAAAAAAAAAAAAACCTCAAATAGCTAATTAAAAAATGGAAATAAACCCAGAAAACTGTTAACTGAGTTACTTTGTGGAGCAGGAATTGAGATGAAGAAGGGTCAGCCCTTCTTCAAGTCATATTTGTAATCCAACTTGACTTTTTTAAAAATATTATTCTAGTGTTGTTAGTGAAGGTTTACAAATCGGTATCAGTTCCCATTCAAGAATTTCTACACTAAGTGTTCAATGACATTTGTTACCTTCATCACAATGCATGAACATTTCCATTATTTCCATTCTGGCTATTCCATTTCCACTTGTTTTAGTTACCCAGTGCCACTCTGACAGAAATACACCACAAATGGGATGGCCTTAACAAATAATTTATTCTCTTACGGTTTGTTGTTGTTGTTGTTGTTATGTGCCGTCGAGTCGGCCCCGACTCATAGCGACCCGTCCTTGGGTTTCCGAGGCAGTATCACTACGGAAGTAGGATTGCCCAACCTTCCTTCCGAGGAGTGGCTGGTGGGTTTGAACCGCCAGCCTTCTGGTTAGCAGGCAAGTGCTTTAGCCACTATGCTACCAGAGCTCTCTAGGGGCTGTGTGAAAGCCCCTCGATCTCGGGCTTCAGCTCTGCCTCTTGCTCATGGCCCACTGGAGCTAGAGGCATCTCTTTACTCAGGCACCTACTGGCTGCTGAGGCTAACAAACCCAAGGTCAACAAATAAAATGGCACAGTCCTGATGTTACCAAATCATACGGCAGGCCATTAATTTAAGTCCATTGACAGTCTCAAGATCAGCAGAGCATGGCAGGCTGCTAAACAATGACATGGCTACATGCAGGGTCCAAGCATGCCATAAGCTAGAGACTATTCCCAAAGTTGTTTCTTATATGTGGAAAGCAGACCACATTCCTAAAGCAGCTACTCAGCTGCTTGTTGTAGATCCCACCAGAGTTGATTGCCAGTCTCATCAAGGAGAATAACTACCACCAGCTGCCCAGCCACTCAACCAGTCCCAGCCAAGTTGACACACAAACATAACCACCACACCGCTGATCTAGTTTCCCTGCTTTCTCATCTCTGTTTTAAAGTAATGGTTGAACATTTAGTGTCACAGATGATTTTGTAAGGGAGCACAATACTCATGAGCACAGTATTCTATTTCATATGCTAGCAGAATGGTCTGCTCTATGCCTCCCACCTAAGCTGCCTAAGTAATGGTCTTGATACCAGAACATTCTCTGATAAAGAGTCTAGGAATTGCATCTCCTCTCAGTTCCCTCTCCTAATCAGACACCCACCCTCCTCCTGTTCTGCGCACAGACTAATTTTCTCTATCTATTGAACATGTGCAGGTAGCATATGGCATCTGGCCAATCCCATTCCTACATGGGTTCCTGGTGGGGAGAGCATGGAGTCTCCTGTACTATAGCACAGGAAGGGTGAACAAAAAAACATGTGCACTGCACTGGCCGTATGTGGGATGTGTTGGCTGGCCATGGGAGACTGGTGCCCACTAGTGAACTGGATCTTGCTCTGTCTGTTGTCTATGCGGAAAAAAAGCATTTCCCATGTACTGTTAAAGCATGTGTGTGTGGCATTTTGCTGGT